GATGATCCTTTTCCATCTTACAATCAGCTTGTTAATGCCCTGTTTAAAGAAATCAATTGGCTTTGAAGCAAAAAACATGTCGATGTCCTCTTTAACACCTTCCACATTTACATACGTTTTCACATTAAGATGGTGTTGCAGCGAACGAAAAAGATGGTAATCTGATGGTGCCATATCTGGAGAATATGGTGGGTGGGGGAAAACTTACCAACCCAACTTCATAATATTGTGTTGTGTCAAAGGTGCCACATGTGGACGTGCATTGTCGTGGAGAAGAACATCTTTCCGATTGACGAGTGAAAGGCGTTTCTGATGAAGGGCTTGATTTAAACGTTCCAGTTGCTGAGTATAGGTCTCTGCATTGACAGTTCGCTGTGAATTGAGAAGTTCGAAAGGAATTACTCCTTTGTCGATCATCGGAGAGTTTGTGAAGCAACCAAACACCTTCTTTATGGAGTTTTCCAATGTTTCTTAGATGCTTGTGTATTTTTTCATAAGAGACATGCAATTTCAAGTTTTCTGATCTACTACCTTGAATCTTAAGAATAAAATTGTCGAATTCTAAGGTTTTATATCTTCTTACATTCAAACATTGATATACAGCTGTTAAATTCTGAGGTTTTATATCTTCTTACATTGAAACGCTGATGTACAACTGTTAAATTCTTAACTGACGTATTACATTTAAAACGTTAAATTCTTAAATGACGTATTACATTTAAAACGTTAAATTCTTAACTGACGTATTACATTTAAAACGTTAAATTCTAAACTGTTTTCATGTACTACATTGACATTTTCATGTACAACTGACGAAATCTAAGCTTTTCTGGCATATTACATAGAAATGTTGATATACTGTTGTTAAATTCCAACTTTTTTTAATATACTATTTTTGATTTTCATGTAAAAGTGTTGGATTATATGATTTTCTGACATCTTATACCTATTATATTGAAATGTTTATGTACAAGTTTTGAATTCTAGGCTTTTACTACATTGAAACATACATTTACAACTGCTGAATACTAAGCTTTTCTGACTACTGCAATCAAACGTTGATGTACAACTGTTGAAATGTAGCCTTTTATAATGTACTACATCGAAACATTCATGTACAATTGTTGCATTCTACGATTTCCTACCTTGTGGCATCGAAATTGATGTACAACTGTTGAAGTATAACCTTTTCTGACTTGTTGCGTTGCAACGTTGATGTATAGTTATTTTCTGATCTGCTACATAAAACGTTAAAGTAAAATTCTAAGCTTTTTGATGTACAACTGTTATATTCTTAGCTTTTCTGTGTTTTTACATTCCAACGTTGATGTACAAGTTCCAAGCTTTTGTGACGTACTACAACGCATCGATGAAGTACGTTTCTTAAATTCTAAACTTATCTGACGTATTTCATTTGAAACGTTGGTTTGCTTGCGTTGAAATCTAAGCTTATCTGAATTATATTGAAACGTTGATATACAACTGTTAAATTTTGAGCTTTCTTGAATTATTACATAGAAACATTGATACATAGCTGTTAAATTGTAAGCTTTTCTCATGTACTGCGTTCAAACTTTGATGTTTAACTGATGAATTCCAAGCTTTTTGTATCTTCTACCTTGAAACTTTCTCCCTCATTACTTTCAAACACTGAAACACATCTGTTAAATTCTAAACTGTTTGGATGTAATACCTTGAAACGTTGGTGTATAACTGTTGATTTCTAAGCTTTTCTGTCTTAATACATTGAAACGTTGATTTTACAAAAGTTGAATTTTAAGACTTCTGATGTACTGTGTCGAAAAGTTGACATATAACTATTGAATTCAAAGCTTATGTGATCTACAACACTTTAGTTCTGAGCTTTTCTCGTTTACTATTTTCAAATGTTAATGTACAACTCTTGAACTTTAAGAGTTTCTCTCTTACTACATTCCAATACTGATCCACAACTGTTAACTTTTAAGCTTTTCTGATCTAATACTTTCCAATTTTGAGGTAAAATTGTTGAATTCTTTCTTTTCTGATCTCTTACATTGAAACATTGCTGTAAAACAGCTTAATGCTACAGTTTTCACCTAGTACGTTGAAACGTTGATATACAACCTTCGAATAGTAAGATTTTCTCATTTTCTACACTGAAACGTTGAAGTACATATAGCTTTTCTAACTTATGATTTGTAAACTGATATACAACGGTTGAATTATAATCAACATTTATAATCTCCTTGTTTTCTCATTCTTTATTATTTGACTGACAAATCATTAGGGCAAATATCTATCTTTTTCATCCAGAAGGGATTAAAGGGGCTTGCTGGCGGCTCTCCAAAGTCAGTTAAGAAGCTATATTCTGGAGACATCTTGGTGGAAACTCCCCATGCTACTTTGAATTCCTCCCGACGAGTGATAGTTGAGAGGGATTTAAGGAATACCCTCAAGTCTGAGATCCTCTCTGGTTTCTCCAGCCAAGGTGTTTCTGCTATTCAACGTATCTCCACTCATAAAGAAGGTATTATGCTGCCTACCAATGTTCTTATATTAACGTTTACATTGCCACAACTGCCTGGCACTGTCAAAGCAGGTAATCTGAACTGTAAAGTACGGTCTTATATTTCTAATCCTCTGCAGTGTTTTCCGTGTAAGTGGTGCTTATCATGGTTCTTTGACGTGTGCTCATTCTGGTGGCAAATATCATAACGCCTATGAATGTCAACTGGACCCTCACTACACAAAATGTGGTAGTTCTTGCCCTAAGTGAGTGGAGGAAACAGAGGTAAAGTATTTAAATACTGTAAACAACATATCTTATCCCGAGGCCCGGATGTTGTTGTCCCCAGTTCAATCTCAGACATATGCTGTTGCACTTTATTCCACTGTTACATTGGTAGTGCAGAAAGATCTTTCCGTGTCTCGATCGGAATCTTTCTAACACCATGTGAAGAGTCTTTTTTTACCCTCTGTGGATGCAAGCATTGACAGATCTATGTCTACTCCTGTCTCTATCCCCACCATTGCATCCAGTGACATCTCAGGTCTGGATAACTTTAGCAAGTATCCCACTTTTACCAATTGCAATGCTTTCCAGCAGGCTCGTGCCCATGCTGATCAGGCATTAAAGCCAGAAGGAATCCTGGATTAAGTTTACTACTAGCATCTCTTCTATCCCCAATTTCAAAGTTGTCTAGGATAATATTCGGAAGGTCAGAGGGAGGTATGCTTCCCATCCCCTTTTCATCTTGCTCGCCAATGGCCAGGAAGGTTCTGGTGTACAGAGTATTGCCGATACTCTTGGGGAGTGCTTTCCCAACTTTCCAGCACGTCTGTCTCTTCTCTCACCACCCACCAGTAGCCCAGCGATATGTCTATGAACTTACAATGCTTGAAATCGGGTTTCGATACCCGTGAAGGGCAAAGCACATATAACCCATTGTGCATCTTTGTGCTTAACCACAAACTAAGAAAAACTTCTCCATCAACTTCTGCCACTTTCCTTTTGGCAGATCGTGTCTATGATTATAATCGCCCATTTACACTTGTGGGACTTTCTCTTCGTTAGTCTGGCAGTACATCAATTGAACCTGATTATGCTCACTATGAGATGCTGCGCCATCTCTCTCCTGTCTCTCTTGCTCTTCTTCTGGTTGTTTTAACCAGATTTGGCGGAAGAATGATTTTCCAGATGTTTAGCATAAAAGTATTGTTCTCACTTAATCAAAGCTTGGGAAGAATCCCAAGATTCCATCTAATTATGGCTTTGAATAGCTGTCTCTCTCTTTGAGAGGTTTACGACACAGCTTGGATGTTTGGCATTTTGCGTGACACTCCATTCATATTGGGTAAATTTTACCCATTTATATTTGTAACTTTTTACTTGACCAGATTTTCCAAGTTTGTGTGGGATCGACCCTGTCCCGATCATTCACACAGGAAATTGGATTCTCTCAGGGCTGTGTCTTGAGTGTCAATTTTCTGTATTAAGATCAATGCCCTCACTCAACAATTCCCTCCTTTTGTTGCAAAGGGCCTCTAAATCAACGACTTCCACATTTATTGTCAGTCATTGAACACGAGGTTTAATGAGTGGCAGCTTTAGACTGCTCTCACTCGCTTGTTCAGATGGACCTGGGAGAACAGTTTCACCTTCTCTTCTTCTAAGACTGTTTGTGCCCATTTTTGCTGGCAGTGGGTTAGCATCCTGATCTGTAACTTCATCTTCGTGATCTTTGATAGATTGTTTAAGCAGAGTATTCATAATGAATCTAAGTTTTAAATGGATAGTCTCTACCTTTTGTAGAAACCTACAAATGTGTGTTGATTATTCTAGCTTTTCCCGATTTGTGTTGTGTCCTGTTGACATGGCGTGTTCTGCAATGGCCGAATTTTGTGTTTTCATGAGTCTTGTGCTCTCTTTATGTTTTTTATTCTTGTTGCAAGTCTTCTTCCCGTTTCTCCAATGTATGTTTTGTTGCAGGAACACGGAATTTCATAAATGACGTTTTTCTGTTTTTTGTTGGTAGGTTTCTGTTTGAATTTGAGTTTTTCACTGACGTTTTTTCAGGTATGGGAGGTATATGGTTGTAGTGGTAGTGGTTTCTTTATTTTTCTTTTCTGTTGTGGTCTTCTTCAGGGAGTTCTTGATGAAACACTGTATGGTGTTTTGGCGTTCTGTTTCGATGGATGTGTTATCGCAAATGTTTTCTGCTCTCTTGTTTAGACACTGGATTATACCACGTTTTATCGAACTTGGATGAAAGGACTGGAAGTGTAGGTATCTGTTCGTGTGGGTGGGTGTTCTGTATGCAGTTGTGGTGATTTTTCCTTCTTGTCTGCTGATCAGTGTGTCAAAAAATGATAAGCTATTTTGTTCCTCTATTTCCATGGTGAAGTGAGTATTCTTGTCTACGAAAGAAGGCCTGTTGTAAGAAGGCTGTTAGGTTTTCACGATCGTGGGGCCAGATAACGAAAGTGTCGTCAACATAACGTCTATTGAAACTTGGATTTATATGTGTGGATGAGATGGCTCTTTCTTCAAAGTCTTCCATGAAAATGTCTGCTAAGATTGGAGAGAGTGGTGACCCTATGGCTAGACCATCTGTTTGTTCATAGAATTCCTCGTTGTATTGGAAATAAGTTGATTGTAGGCAAATAGTCGTTAGTTCCATGATGGTGTCTATCTTCATGTCGGTTCTATGTGGTAGAGAGTTGTCATTCAGCAGTCATTGTCTGGTGATACAAAGGGTTTCTAGTTCAGAACATTGGTAAATAGGTATGTGATGTCAAAACTGACTAGAATATCCCACAACAGGCAGTTGCTGTCCATTTGAAACTTAGATTCATTCATTTTCGTGGTAATGTTCTTCCCATGGTGACTGAGACAAAGTTCCTGAGACTTATCTTTGACCATAAGTTTACTTTCATTCTTCACATTAAGCAGCTTCGTGTCAAGTGTACAAGGGCATTGAACATCCTCCACATCCTCTCTTCCACCTCTTGGGGAGTGAATAGATGTGTCATGCTCAAGATCTATCGTGCCCTCATATGATCCAGGCTTATCTATGGATATCTGGTCTATGCTTCTGCCAGGGCCTCTGCCTTGAAAATGCTGGGCTCTTTACACCATTTGATTTACACTAATTCCCATAAACCTCCTCTTCATCTCAGACATTTGCAACTTTCCTTGCTTTATGCTACTAAGCTTCGATCCTAACCATGGCATCCCATCTGAGGTTGTGTCTTCCTTCCTTGGAGGGCTGTACTCTTTTGGAAATAGATGGTTTGCCATTCTCCTTTTCACCTTCATATCCAGGCACAGTTGGCTGAACTGGGCCTATCATTGAATGACGATGCTGAGTCCAATGATCAACCCACCCTGCCATCGTTCATTACCATCCCCTCTTGTGACCTTTCCTTCAGTCATCTGAGGAGGACGGATACTCCAAATAGGAAGTACCGTCTTCTCTTTACCAAACATCTTTCAAACCATTCTTCTGTTCCCGTTTTTACAGATGGCTCGAAATCAGTTGACTCTGTGAGCTCTGCCATAGTTTGTTGTGGCTCAGTGGTTTCACACAGGATCCCCTCTACAGTTTCTGTGTTCACTGCCGCATTGTATACCGTTTCTTTTGCCCTGGATCACATAGAATCTAAGCAGTACACTAACTGTACCATTTACGTAAACTCTCGTAGCTCTCTACTGGCCACGGAATTGCTTCACGTGAGTTCTCACCCTGTTCTTGTCAATGTTCAGAAACAACTGGCCCACTTTTCTCTGTCTTCTGTTTCTGTCCAGTTTTTCTGGATACCTGAACATGTTGGTATTTATGGGTAAGCTTGCTAACACTGCAACTGGCATAGTCACAGCCATGCCTGTCCCTTATATGGATTATGGTCCTAAGATCAGGTCACGGCTTTGAGCCTGTTGGCTGTCGATTTGAGGTGAGCAAATTCATAACAAGCTTTTCCAAATCAAACCTGCTGTTGTTACTTGGCCATCTAATTTCTTTAAAGATCAGAGGTAGGAATCTGTCTTGTGTAGTCTTCGCATCGGCTACAGTTTCATAATTCAATTTTTTTATCTGGGTCTGATCCGCCAATGTCACTTTCTGTCACTCGGGTTGTAATTGCCCATATCTTGCTTTCATGCCATTATTACAACTGCGAACAGCAGTACCATTTTAGACATGGTTTTTCTTCGGGTTTACCCCTGACGTTGGACAGTATCATTGGCGAAGGTGACACTGTCCAGCTTGATTGTGTTTTTAGCTTTTAATAAGCTTTTGGCCTTTTATATCTATTTAAGTTGTTTACTTTATTTGGGTTTTTTTAACTATAAACTTGATTTCTTTTGACGTTTTTAGTATTTTACTTTTTGTTTTTATTTTTATACCGTTTTTTGGCACAAATAGCCTAGCTGCTTTACACCAAAAAACGTCAACCAACCAAATTGTTGAATTATAAACTTGTCTGACTTTTTACATTGAAAATGTTATGTACAACTGCTGAATTCCAAAATATTCTGATCTACTGCATTCAAACTTTCATGTTTAAACTGTTGCATTCTAAAATTTTCTCACTCACTACATTCAAACGCTGATATACAGTATATATAAGTTTAGTGTATAATAAATATATAAAATTATATTTGTTTTGAGTTTAGAGCTATAGGTTATTGCAAGGCTTATAAATAAAAGAACATATAGTATATTAGTGTTTAATTTGAGATAAATTTTCTTTTCAGATACATATATGGGTAGTTGAGAATGTTATATTCAAAAATGATTTTGAAGCTTCACCACGTCATTACAGCACATGTCGCCACTTTCGCTCATGCTATATCTGACGACTGTGAATCTTAAAAATATCCTTGCAGTATAGAATCTATTGCAAAAAGGCTCTGTTGTAAGGCTGTCATGCCCAAAGCGTACCACGCCTCTGTGTGGTTTTCCATAATCTATCTAATGCAGGATGAATGATGTTTCAACAGCTCAACCAGAAAAATCCATATGTGCTGCGTCTAGCGACTTTATTGGTATGTTTTTGTATGAAATAGCATGAATACCTGTTTCATTCTCCAGCTGAATGAACGAGAAGTATTAATGGAAGCCTTAGCTCGGTAAACTAATACCTTGTTGGTGTCGCATCTTTACAGAGCCACTATATTTGAGTAACACAAAGTGTGCAGAATGTTGGTCTGATCGTAATCAGAGTTCACCTTGACCTTTGTATTCATTCTCTTGATTCATAACTTACCCCAGACACAGCATCTGGTAATGGTCATGATTTCTTCAAAGAGTTTCTCACAAGACTCGTTACAGTTATCAAGGTACACATATGTTTCATCATCGGTGGTCACCACGTAATGTCATTCTCCCTAACTAGGTACCGTTCATACAGGTTTCTACAGTTTGTCTTTCTTTCCTGGATATGTGGAGAAAGCAATATGTGTACACGTGTTGATTTTTCAGATGAAGATCCTTCTTGGTTATCTTGTGTTCTGTTGTCTGGAGCATGTGGGCGGCTTTTGCCTCTGACTTTAGTGTTTGTGCATTCTCATCTGTTATAAAACATCATACTTTGTTTAACACAGGTAGTGTAAGACTTGTTGAAAGTCTCTTCTGTATGGTCCTAGTGTCAAGAATTGGTCCATAATCCTTAACTTTCTAATGCCACTAAGTATAAAAGATAGCATCGTCTTGGAAATTCTAAATCCCCGTCTGAACACATTTCATGATTTGAGTATATGAACATTTTGCATCACACTACCTTAAAAACGCCAAACAATCTCATAATGTATTTCTGATACAATCCATTCCACTGTGACTTCATATTAGCTGTTTTTCACGTGTGTTACTGATTTGCATATTGAAAATCGTTTTCATATAACATACTCAACCCTTTGTATAGGAACTATGTAAAAAATATGTTTGTTTCTAATTAGAGATACAATTTTTAAACATAGATTCTTTGAATCTGGAGGAATACATCATTCGAGGGGCACAATTCACATTTTTACTGACTTGTCACAAAGAAATCCCAACTTAAACTTAGTCAGTAAGAATGCTAGCAATTACAACCCGCCTTACAATTTGAAACTCCACGCGTTGTTTTACTGACTTTATTATATCTTTTGTTATAGTTTTTACTTCAAGATGGGAGCTTTACTAGTTTGCACAAAAAAAAAAGTGAGACACATGTCCCCAGTGTTATAAAACATACTGCAGTTATCTGTGACTAGTTTGTGGATAAACTTTAGTGTAAGCTGTATATATATACATTAAATGAGTAATGTATATTTGTTTCTAACTTAAAGGTTCAGTTGAAAAGTCGTATAGATAAAAAAATTAGTTAATATCTTTATTTCAAATTCAGATGCAATATACTGTCCAATTTGTGCACATGTCGTTGACAGAAAGCATATTGCAAGAGGTATATCTAAAGAATAGCTACAAAAAAGTCTAGATTTCAGGTATATTCTATTATAAAATAAGTATATATAAAAAAATATATATGACATAATCATGCCTTGAATAGGGGTGTGGTCTACTATAAACGCATACAGAGTAGACAGAAAGTCTAGTTTACAGGTATTGTTTATTGTAAGGTCAATATGGAAAGTCGGAATAAAAAGTATGTTCATTATTAGACTGATGTGCAGTCCCTTTCAAAAATACATAAAAAACCGCTAGAACGACTATTTGTTTGAATTTTAGAGGTCCATTCTACTGAAAAATATTTACATACATTTTGTTTAAAAGGTATGTGTGTGATAAGTTTAAACATAGTCTATCGTAAGACATTCATTCAAGGACTGTCTTGAAAATATATGTTGTGCAGTTTATTGTAAATTGTATACGTCTTCAACTCTTATGGTCTATAATGCCTAAGCTGACGAAACATGATGTAGTGACTAGTAGTCGATGTGATATATCATTAATGATAATAATTTTAATCTCACCTCTTTTTCCTGAACGGACGTGAATGTTTTCAGTAAGAATTGTATATAATATCATTTCAACTGTACACATTGCCTGATGTTTGCCGATGGTAGTGAGATATTTAGCTACCGAATAGAGTTCATCAGGCCTATAAATTTCTAATAAATTGTCAGATTTTTATGTATGGGCCAGATTCTTTACGATAAATTTCAACAACATACAATCAGTACACAGTCCACCTCTTTTAAAATAATATATCAAAATAAGTCAAACGTATATACAAATGTTCGTTACACTGTTGGTTATCACAGTTGTATCCAAAGCTTTAAATTATTGTCTCTTTTTCGTCACAGTCCACAGAGACTGACTCAATCACTTTAGAACACACATTTGCAATACGAATTATTCTTCTCTACTCTGTTATTACAATACAATCTGTGATAATTTCAGATTAAAGATCACCACTATACGCTCTTAATGGCTAAACCCACAATCACACAGTCTAGATCTAGCTATCAAACTAAGTCCCGACATGTATTTGTACTCCAACAGAGGTCTAGAACGTTCCCCACACTACTATTTATTATGAATTATTATCAATTAAAACAACAAGAAAAACTCAGAAAGCTCTAGTAACATGATGCAATAATATATCAACCACCACTTCATAACTATTGAACTATACAATGTATGCTTTCGTAAACAGTTATGTAAACAAACCTGCGATAAGCTATCACTTCTAAAAATAACTAAATTTAACACTCGCATTA